TTGGCTTGCTCTCTCACGTTAGCTCCCTCAGATTGTCCTCAGGGCATTCAGGCCTGGTCCTTACCCTAAGCATGCAACCCGCCCCTCCTTGTTCAGTCCCTGCTTGCTGGTGGTGGACGCGAACATCTGGGCTACTTCTCCGGTGGGAGCGCCACTAGGCACGTAATCTGTGGGTTTTATTTATTTATTTATTTTTCTTCCTGGTTATGTTGCCATCTGAGATTCCAAAACTCCCCACAGACCCGCCGGTGAGAGGGTTTCCTGGTGTTTGGAAACTTCTCCTCTTTCACAACTCCCTCCCTGTGACAGGCTTCTGTCCCTAACTCTTTTGTCTCTTTTTTATCTTTTATATTTTGTCCTACCTCCTTTTTGAAGGCAATGGGCTGCCTTTCTGGGTGCCTGGTGTCTTCTGCCAGTGTTCAGAAGTTGTTTTGTGGAGTTTGCTCAACATTCAAATGATCTTTTGATGAATTTGTGGGGGAGAAAGTGGTTTCCTCGTCCTATTCCTCTGCCATCTTAGGGAGTCAACACAATTTTGCCAGTGAGGAATAAATTTGCTTATTCCTGTAGCATAAAAATCTGTGCTTCGGGATTTGATGAACTCTTAGAAAGCATTTTCTGCATCCTGCTGGTTGTGGTAGCATTTTTCCTGCAAAAGTTGTCGAAATGCTTGAAAAAGTGGTAGTCAGTGGACGAGAAGTCAGATGAATATGGCAGACAAGGCAAAACTTTGTGGCCTGATTTCGTTCAACTTTTGAAGCATTGATTGTGCAGCATGCAGTTGGGCATTGTCATGGAGAAGAATTGGGGTCTTTCTGTTGACCAATGCCAGCTGCAGACATTGCAGTTTTTAGTATATCTCATTGATTTGCTGAGCATACCTCTCAGGTGTAATGGTTTCACTGGGATTCAGAAAGCCGCAGTGGGTCAGACTGGCAGCAAACCACCAAACAGTGACCGTGACAATTTTTTTGGTGCAAGTTTGGCTTTGGGAAGTGGTTTGGAGCTTCTTCTCGGTCCAACCACAGAGCTGATTGTTGCTGATTGTCATATAAAATCCATTTTTTGTCTCATGTCTACAGTCCGATTGGTTCGTTGTTATTGTGTAGAATAAGAGACGATGACACTTGAAAATGATAATTTTATTTGATTTGCAGTCAGCTCATGAGGCACCCACTTACTGAGCTTTTTCACCTTTCCAATTTGCTTCAAATGCTGAACGACCATAGAATGGTTGATGTTGAGTTCTTTGGCAGCTTCTTGTGTAGTTGTAAGAGGATCAGCTTTGATGATCCTCTCAGTTGGTCATTGCTAACTCCCAGTGGCTGGCCACTACAATCCTCATCTTCAAGGCTCTCATCTCCTTTGTAAAACTTCTTGAACCAACACTGCATTGTGCCTTTGTTAGCAGTTCCTGGACCAAATGCATTGTTAAAAAAAAAAAAAATCACTCGAATTTTTGGTCTAACATAATTTCTTAGCAGAAAAACATAAAGCAAAAAATGTGCATTAAAATGATGTATAACAACCACATTTATTTAAGAATGTATTCCAATATCAAAAGGCAAAGTTCAACAGTGCAAAACTTTTGACAGTTAGAGACGTGAGTTGTCTTTCTTCCCTTGCATATATATGTCTACCCCAAACAAGGACTCATCAGTTCTGCAGATGAGCAAATCCTAAAAGATGATGCTGTTAAAGTGCTACACTCAATATGCCAGCAAATTTGGAAAACTCAGGAGTGGACACAGGACTGGAAAAGGCTAGTTTTCATTCCAATCCCAAAGAAGAGAAATGCCAAAGAATGTTCTAATTACTGCAAAATTGCACTCATTTCACATGTTAGCAAGGTAATGCTCAAAATCCTTCAAGCTAGGCTTCAACAGTACCTGAACTGAGAACTTCCAGATTTGCAAGCTGGATTTAGAAAAGGCAGAGGAACCAGAGATCAAATTGCCAACATCCACTGGATCATAGAAAAAGCAAAGGAATTCCAGAAAAAAATCTACTTCTGCTTCATTGACTATGCTAAAACCTTTGACTATGCGGATCACAACAAACAGTGGAAAATTCTTAAAGACATGGGAAAACCAGATCACCTTATCTGTCTCTGGAGAAATCTGTATTCAGGATAAGAAGCAACACTGAGAACTGGGCATGGAACAATGGACTGGTTCCAGATTAGGAAAGGAGTATGTCAAGGCTGTATGTTGTCACCCTGCATATTTAACTTACATTCAGAGTACATAATGTGAAATTCCAGGCTAGATAAAGCTCAAGCTGGAATTAAGATTGCCGGGAGAAATATCAGTAACCTCAGATAAGCAGATGGCACCAGCCTTATGGTAGAAAGCTAAGAGGAACTGAAGAGCCTCTTGATAAAAGTGAAGGAGAGAGTGAAAAACCTGGCTTGAAACTCAACATTCAGAAAATGAAGATCATGGCATCTGGTCCCTTCACTTCATGGCAAATAGATGGGGAAACAATGGAAACAGTGACAGACTTTATTTTCTTGGGCTCTCAAATCACTGTGGATTGTGAAATTAAAAGACACTTGCTGCTTGGAAGAAAAGCTATGACAAACCTAGACAACTTATTAAAAAGCAGAGACATCACTTTGCCAACAAATGTCTGTCTAGTCAAAGCTATGGTTTTTCCAGTAGTCATGTATGGATATGAGAGTTGGACCGTAAAGAAGGCTGAGCACCAAAGAATTGATCCTTTTGAACTATGGTGTTGGAGAAGACTCTTGAGAGTCCCTTGGACTGCAAGGATATCCAACCAGTCCATCCTAAAGGAAATCAGTCCTGAATATTTGTTGGAAGGACTGATGCTGAAGCTCCAATACTTTGCCCCCTCATGCGAAGAGCTGACTCATTGGGAAAACCCCTGATACTGGGAAAGATTGAGGGCAGATGGAGAAGGGGAGACAGAGGATGAGATGGTTGGATGGCATCACTGACTCAATGGACATGAGTTTGAGCAAACTCTGGGAGATGGTGAAGCACAGGGAAGCCTGGCATGCTACAGTCCATGGGGTCACAAAGAGTCAGACATGACTTAGTGACTGAACAATGACACTTCTCCAGAAGCAGGGACTCAAGGATAAACATCTTATGGAGTAAAGAACAAGGTCTTAGTGATTCTTAGCTTTTCTGAGGTGAACACAGGAATTTTTTAAAAGATTGGTGAAATACTATAAGAGATGATTCTTCTGATTGAAAGTATAAGGACTTCTATAGTGGGACTCATTTTATTCTTAAACTTGGATCAGAGTCTGTATGTGTGCACCTGGTCCTGTGTGTGTGTTCTGCCCTGGGTGTGCGTATATGTGTGCACACATGTGCTTACCCTGGGTGTGTGTGTGTGAATGTGCACATGTGCTACCCAGGTGTGTGTGTGCTCCCCCAGGGGTGTGTGTGTGTGTGTGTGTGTGTGTGTGCATGCCCATGTGCTGCCCCAAATGTGTATGTGGTCCCTTTAGGGGTGTGTGTGTGCATGTGTGCACATGTGCCGCCCCAGGTGTGTGTGCACACACTCATGTGCTGCCCTGGGGGTGTGTGTGTGTGTTCATGCTCTGCCCCCCGTGTGTGTGTGTGCACACATGTGTGGGTGCGCATGTGTTTTTGCTGCTCTGGGTGTGTATGTGGGTGCTTCCCCTGTGTGTGCATGTGTGTGCACATGTGCAGACGTGTGCCCCCCAAGTGTGTGTGCATGCGTCTATGCTACCCAGGGTATGTGTATTTGTGTGCGTGTGCCCCCCCGTGTGTGTGTGTGTGCACACGTGTGGGCCCCCTCCCGTGTCAGTGTGTGTGCTTTTTGCCCTGGGGGTATGTGTGTATGTGCTCCCCCAGGTGTGTGTATGTGTGCATGTGCCCCCCCTGTGTGTGTGCACCTGTGTTCTTACTGTCCAGGGTATGTGTGTGTGTATGTGTGCGTGCATGCTTCCCCAGGTGTGGGTATGTGTGCATGTGTCCCCCCTCTGTGTGTGTGCACGTGTGTTCTTAACTGTCCAGGGGGTGTGTGTATGTGCGTGTGCATGCTCCCCCAAGTGTGTGTATTGACAGGACAGGTACAGCTCTGAGTCAGGTGCACGGTCCTGCCCTGAGTCAGCCCCAGGGTTTTGTCCCCAGTACGTGCAGGATTTGTGCCTTTTTGTCTGGTTGTGACATGGGAGGGTCTCTGTGGGAGGGAGGTTGGACTGTGTGCAAGTGTGTGTATCTGGGGGCAGGTCAGGCGGCAGCAGCACCCTTGCTCCCTGCCGCTCTGAGGCCGTGACCTGATCTGTGAACCAGCAGAAGGGCCTGAGCCAGGGTCTGCCCCCATCCCCAGGACCATCTTCCTTGTGTGTCTTCCTCACTCGTCCTGGAGGTGAGAGTCAGTCAGGGAATGCTCAGGCGGAGGTGAAGGCCGGACTTTGACCAGTACTGTGGGTGTTTGGTTCTTGCCTGAGCAACTGAGTTCCATTCACGGGATGCTGCGCATCCTGGTGTGTGTGTCACTCTCATCAAGGCCTTTCTGGACGTCTGCTCAGTGGCCAGGCCGGTAACCGGGGCTGCAGGGGCCAGACATGCAAGGAGCCCAGAGCTGAGCACTGGGCCGCAGCTGGCCATGCTGGTGGGGCTGCTGCTTGGCGAAGACAGAAGGGGGTCACCGGGCTGTGGGAGGGGCCGCAGGAGGGACCTGCGCTGGGGTGGGGTCGTCAGGCCTGGAGTGTGAGCCGGCCTCAAAGACAGAGGTGCGCAGTAGCATCTCCCATCTCACAGGGCTCAGGAGGGCAGTGCAGGGTGGCCACGAAGCCCACGTCACTGGGAGCAGTTTCTGTCACCTGCACGAACCACATACAGAACACGCAGGCTCATGGCCAGAGGGGTGTGGGTCTCCACGGCTGGAGCACGACTGTTGGTGTCCACCCTGTGGGTACTGTTCACACAGGTCTCTGGATGGTCCACCTCAGTGTATGTGTGTGCCTGATCTCCAGGGTTGTTTTCTCTCTTCAGCTAACGTGTGTGTTGTGAAGATGGAGGGTACCCCTCATCTCTGCAAAACTGATGAAGTTGGAGAGATCTGTGTGGACTCCAGTGCGACGGCGACAGCATACTATGGGCTGCTTGGGATCACCAAAAACGTCTTTGAGGTCCCTGCAGGTCCCACAGCAGTGGCGGGAGGGCGGGCAAGGCATGAAGGAATGTGGCCTTCCTCAGGGTGCCTACAGCCCTGATGGACCCTGGGTGGCCCAGGGGAGCTCCTCGGGTCTGGAGCCATTGGATCCTCAGGAGAATTCAGTGCCTTCACAGGGGTGGGAGGGGAAGCCTGGGTCCTGGAGGCCATGCTGGCAGGAGGCTGATGGAGGTCATGTCAGCTGATAGGGCCTCTGGCCCCAGTGTGGGATGGGGCTGGGTGGGGAGCCCCGTCCCCTCCAGGGAGATATGGTGATAGCCCTTCTAGGACTGTTGTCCTCTGCATTCTGTGCAGACTGTCCCTGTCACTGCTGGGGGCGCACCTGTCTCGGACCGACCTTTCACCAGGACGGGGCTTCTGGGCTTCATCGGGCCTGTGAGTATGTCCTGCTGCCAAACCCGGGCCACCAGCCAGGCTCAGAGCTGGGGAAGGATCTGTTTGATGTCCGTGGTGCCCAGGCCCCAGGACGGAGTTCCATTCCTCCCAGCCGTCAGTGCTGTCATGCTGGGGTTCCCTGTCCATGGCCTTGAGTCCTTTACAGACTTGACCCTCACTTGTGCCCACCTCTGACCTTCCCTGCCCTGATGCCTGCTCTGGACACACCCCCACCCCCACCCCAGCACACCAAGCTTTGGGCCCCTTCACCCCGGTCCCCACACCTGTCTTTCCTGTTGCCGTGGGCTGGGGGCCCGCGGGGCCTGTCTGTGAGTTGCCTGGCCTGCGGGCTGTCGGGCCTCTGTCGCAGGCCCTGAGCCACAGGGCCTGCCGTGTGTCCTCTGCCCAACCAGTGTCCTTGCCTTCAGGATGACCTGGTCTTCGTCGTGGGCAAGCTGGATGGGCTGATGGTGGTGGGATTTCGCAGACACAATGCGGATGACGTGGTGGCCACTGCGCTGGCCGTGGAGCCCATGAAGTTTGTCTACAGAGGCAGGTGATGCGCGGGTCCCCTTGCCTCACCTTTAGGTTCCTTCTCCACTTAACCCTCGAGAGGTCCCCACAGTGGAAGGAGAGCCCAGTGCTGTGAATACGCAAAACCTATTAACTCCTGTACATTGGAGAACTTCACAAAGAACAGGACGATGTTTGCAGGAGGATGCCTGAGTCAGAGTCCTCACCATCTGCAGAGTTCACGATTCCTCGAGGGTGAGACCCAGACCAAGACCTGGGCATGGAGACTGGGCCAGCACCACCCAGGAGCTGTGTGCCTGAGGGCAGAACCTCAGGGACACAGGCCAGAGCGGAGGCCTTTCCCTGAGAGTTAGCAGGCGCCGTGCTTTCCTGAGGTCGAGTCAGTTTACCTTTCCTGAATGTGTCAGGCAGGCACTTCACAGGTTCTCATCCAGAGAGCAGATAAGGGGGCCCAGCCGGTCAGGGCCCCAGGTGGCTGGGGTGGGGAGCAAGGGCCCTGTCCGGCCTGCCCAGCTCAGGGCTCTGTCCTGGAGGAGGGGCTCCATTCCTGGTTGGCCCGCTCAGCCACCTGTTTCATTTTATTCTTCTCGAGGGAGTGCTTCTATTACTCAAACAAGGGTGCCTGTGAGCTTGGCCAGAGCCTTCCTGTGAATATGTTGTTGTCGTTCAGTCACCCAGTCGTGTCCATCTCTTTGTGACCCCGTGGGCTGCAGCACGCCAGGCTTCCCTGTCCCTCACTATTTCCCAGAGTTTGCTCACACTCATGTCCACTATACCTTAAAGAAATCATCAGGGACTTCTTGCCAGTGAGGGGTCAGCGTGGCTGCAGGCCCTTGCCCAGGTTGGGGTGATGGCCGTGGATGACTGACCACCTGGGGGAAGCCAGCTGGGCAGGTGGCCCTGGTGGGTGTGTGCATCCTGGAGCTGCGGCACAGGGCACACACAGAAACTGGAGGCACTGTTAGCACAGGTGTCCACGGTGGGGACGCTGGGCAGCCCACATGTGCTCCCGCTATGTCAGGGAGACCGCCCGGCGTGGCCAGCGATACCCGATGCCACCTGGAGGGGATGCTGGTCCAATGGCTGACTGGGGTGTGGGGTGGACGCGTCTGTGGCTGGAGAGGCGATCTATCTGCCTTCACCACAGAGGAGCTGAGTACTGGGTGGATACCTGCAGGAACTCTTGCAATGTGAGGTCAAGGCACCACAACAGAGCAGTTGTTCAGAAGGTGGAATAAATGTGGGGCAGAGGCGGCTGGGGAGGGAGCTGATAAGCTGGAAAGCCAGAAGAAGAAACTGCTCCAAAAGTGAAGAAATAGAAAGTCTAAAAAATTGAGAGAAAAGTGAAGCGAGCGGGGCTGGCATCCAGACAGTAACCTCAGGGAGGGGAGGGGGTGCATGTGTGAACCTGAGGCTGGAGGAGGTAGCCACAGGGCGGGTCTCCAGCCAGGATACACCAGATGCCCCAGAAGAGGGCCTGGAGTGAAAGGATGACATGTTTAAGGTTTTCAGAGGAACTTTTAGCCCAGGTTTTAATATATTCATCCCAAGATGTCACTTAATTGTGCAGTTGCAGTGAAAATGTTCTTGGGTATATAGGTTTCAGAAGTTTTGTAACAAAGACTGTTTTTTGTGAAAACACTTTCAGGTAAGGTACTAAGAGAAATAAGATGGATGAAAGTGAGGAAATGTTAATACTGGGTGAAGCTTGTATAAAAGAGAAAGAGTGTGTGTGTGTATGTGTGCATGTGTGCACTTGTGTGCTCAGTGGCCAGAGGAATGAGTGAGCAGGTAGGTCTATGAGGCTCAGGGCTTGCGTGGCAGACATGCCAGCTACTGGTCTTGTGAGGGAAAAGAATCTACTTGAGTCGAAAGGAAGAAAAAGGCGACACACAGAAAAGGTGAACCTGTCAAATTCTTCAGTGAGACGTGGAACACAAGTCTGCAGACGTCAGTCACAGATGTGAGCGGAGTCCCGCACAGCGAGAGGTTTTATCAGCTGGACTGAAACATTACGTCATTAATAGATCTTCTGGACACACATTTTTACATGAGAAATCATCGCATGGCTTAACATTACAATTAAGGAGAAATTTCTTTAATAGTGTGAGCCTCGTCTTTTCTCTGCACCCAGGTCCTGTCTGCTTTGTGAATGGAAACTCATTTTTCCACATTGGAGGAGGTTTGGTTCCTTTTACGTTCTGTGGACCACGTCTCCCTCCAGCCCCACTGCAGTTTCCATCTCGTGGGGTGGGGTGTCCGCACCCAATCATGCCGGGTGGTCATCGCTTCCCTTCCTCCCCCAGGATCGCTGTGTTCTCCGTGACAGTGCTCCATGACGACCGGATCGTGCTGGTGGCGGAGCAGCGGCCTGACGCATCCGAGGAGGACAGCTTCCAGTGGATGAGCCGCGTGCTGCAGGTGGGCGTGGACCCACGGCTCCGCCGGCCCCGGGGTGTGGAGCAGGAACTAGGCCCCGACGGTGCCATGCCTGCAGCAAATGTGTGCTGCAGCTGGAGGTGTGTCCCACCTCGCGAGGCCCACACGCTGCCACTCCCTGCACAGCCACATTCGTTTTCTTAAATACTAACCTAGAAGCAGCAACTCTCTTGCGGGGCTGGGAGTGAACTTTGCCTTCAGTGAAGAGCACAGACTGTACGTGCGGTCAGGGAGCGTAGTTTACTCAGCTCACTGAGTGTAACTTACACATGGAAAGAGCAGATTTGCAGGGTCCAGACTGGTGAATTTTGACAGGTGTACACGCCCCGGTAACCACAGCTGAGAGCACTCACGCCATTCGGGGAGCCACCCGCCGCTGTGTCTCGGGGGCTGAGCTCTGCCCCCCACCAAGGGCGTCCTACAACCAAGCCTCAGTGTGGGCTCCTGATCAGATTGTCTTCCTCGGTGGCGCATTCATGAGGTTCCTTGTGGTGTGTACATCAGTGGCCCATCCCTTTTTATTGCTGAGTTGTGTTTCCTTTGCTTGTTTGTCCATATCTTGGTGACACTGGGTTGTTGGTTTGGGGCTGTTATGGATAAGGCCGCTGTGGACAATGGTGTCTGTCCAAATCTCTGGGTGAGTTCAGTCCTGGCAGCTCTCCAGAGAGCCCCCTGGTGTCCCAGTAGCTTTGGGCAGTTGTGTGGCGTGTGCTCAGCCTCGGCCCCCAGGGTAAGGACATGCCTACGAAGCAGAGCAAGTCCAGCATCAGGGAGACGAGAGAGCCCTGAGTGTCAGAGGACCAGTTTTTCTACTAATGCTGACAACATTTATACTTAGTGAAGATGTTTAATGTTTCATTGTGGAATATTACTAATATACCAGTCATACAAAGAAGACTGTAACAGCCCCCGTGTGTCCACTGGCAGCCTCAATCAACACTGACCAGTCCAGGAACCATCTGTACCCCACTGCACTCCCAGCTTCTCCCTCAGGAGAGCTTTGAAGCAAATCCCAGACTCAGAGATTTTACCTGTAAATTTTAGTATTTATTTCTTTAAAAAAGGAGTACCAGTATCCCATCTTAAAAATAAGCAATAATCCTTATCAGATGCATTTTTACAGATCTCTCCTCCCATTCGATAGGTTCGTCTTGTTTTGTTGGTGGTTTCCTTTCCTGTGCAGAAGCCTTCTAGTTTGACACGAATCCACCTGTTTATTTTTGCTCTTGTTGCCTTTGCTTTTGGTGTCAAATCCAAAAAACCATCACCAAGACTAACATCAAGTTTACTGTAGCCTATGTTTATTCTAGTATTATCAGTTCAGGTCTTCTATCCAAGTCCTCAGTCTATTTTGAGTTAGTTTTGTGTGTGGTGTCCAGTTTCTCCAGTGCCATTTATTGAAGGCACTCTCTTCCCATTGTCTGTCTTTGTCTCCTTTGTCATAAAGAAGCAACCGTGTGAGTGTGAGATTACTCCTGGGCTCCCTTCTGCTCCGTTGATCCATATTTTTGTGCCAGGTCCACACTGCTTTGATTACTGCAGCTTTACGATGTTTGAAGTCAGGGAGCATGATACCTCTAGCTTTGTACTTCTTTCTTAAGACTGCTTTGGCAACCCAGGGTCTTGTGGTTCTCTGCAAGTGTTAGAAGTGTTTATTTTAGTTTTGTGAAGAATGTCATGGGTACATTTAGTTGTGTTTTTTTCAGTTTCTTTCATCAGTCCCTCACAGTTTTAAGTATACATGTGTCCCTCATCTCCTTGGTTAAATTTATTCGTGAGCATTTTAGTTCTTTCTGATGTATTTAAATATTTAGTCACTATTCAGGTTTCCCAAATTACCTAATGTTCAATATGTTTGTTAAACTCAGGATCAAAATAAGGTAAAAGCTGCACTTGGTTGGTCCAGGTTTTTAAGTCTTCTTTAATGTACAGACTCTTCCTTGTTTTATTTTTGTTGCAGTTTGTTTCTTGACAGGTTAGCCTGGTTCATCTCCCAGTCTGGGCTCTGACGGCTCTGCCTCGTGGTCCCGTCTCTGTCCTCCTCTGTCCCCTGTGTCATTGGGTAGATCTTGAGGCCTGGCCTGACTCGGGCTCGATTTGCTGGCCAGGGGCCTCATGGGAGGTGGATATTCTGTCCACTGGCTTGGTAGGGCTTCAAGGGAACAGAGGCATTTCAGTTCAGTCATTCCTTGCCCATTGGTAATGCAGCTGCTTTGAAAGTGTGTTCTACAAAGAGTGCTGTGTCCTCTGAAGTCACCAGGGGACGTGGAGTGAAGGTTGTGCAGGAAAGTAAGATCCAGGGTTGATTTCTGGATCCTGTACTGGCGGCATGGAGTAGCTCTGGTTTTTGTCTCTCTGTGAACTAGTGGTTGTAGTAACTATATTTATATGTCAGTGGTAGCCTCTCTGGATTGGCTCCTGAGTCCTCTCGACACACCTCTGGGTTCTGAGGGGTCACATGGAGAGCAGGAAGCTGGATGCCAGGGGGTGGGGGGCATCTCATGTCCCAGACCTGGCACAACTGGGACCCTCGGGACCCTGTTGTCTCCGAGAAGTGGACTTGGGTCCACAGTCTGGGCAGTGGACAGAGTAGGAACTGGACAGAGCAGATCCTCTGCCTGTAAGATCACCCACAGCGTGCGTGAGTTTATGCTGCTGGTTCCAACTCAGGTTGAAGGCCTCAGAGTTTTCCTTGTCTCTCTGACCTTTCTCCATGATGAAAGGTTGCAATGATGATGACTCCAGCAGAAGTAATCATGTCCTGGTGCCACGCTGCACACACTCCAGTCTCCATGCAACCTCTCAAGTGTGAGGTTTCGAGCACAACTTAGGATGTTTTTTCAATTCTTTTTGCCAATAGGGTGTATCCCTCTAGGACGGAATCAGTCAGATTGCTGTGTTTAAAGTCACTTTAAGTAGATTCTATCTGAGGGGTATGCCAGCCTGATCCACTTCGATTGAGTTCATTTGTTCTATTTTACTGTCAGTTGTTAGGGATTGGTTTTTAAGTTTTAAGTTTTTTGGACATAAAATATTTACATGGTTCCAACTCTGAAAGCAAAGTGTATTCAGAGGAGCCTGGCTTCTGTCCTCTGTCCACGCTTCTTCCACAGGAAGTCAGTGTCTGCTTTGATGGCTTTTTCTAATGTGAGCAGTTACAGATTTATGTTGGAGTGTGCACATGCACACATGTGTATAAATGCTAGGAAATGCACAGTTGTCTCACCATGTTTCTCTTAGCAAAACGCCCCAGAGGTCACGGTCTGCTTGACCTTTGGGTTTGGGTGTTCTGACCCTCCTGTAGCTCCCAGTCTGGAGTTGGTCGCATGTGCTCAAGCGCAGGCCCCTGTCTCATGCTCCTTCCAGGCCATCGACAGCATCCACCAGGTGGGCGTGTACTGTCTGGCCCTGGTTCCTGCCAACACCTTGCCCAAGGCTCCTCTTGGTGGGATTCACGTTTCTGAAACCAAGCAGCGCTTCCTGGAGGGAATGCTGCACCCATGTAATGTGTTGATGTGCCCTCACACATGTGTTACCAACCTTCCCAAGCCTCGGCAGAAGCAGCCAGGTTAGTGCACGTCACAGAACATCTACTGCGTCTGTAGATAGTGGCAGCCACGCTTGTGTTTAAGGGTGCAGGCCTGTTGAACCCTCTGTCCCTGGGGGTGGAGCTGAGAGCCAGAGTGAACAGCACAGCAGGTCAGTCCCCACCTCCTGCTCCCTGGAAGGAGCACATCTCCACCCGCCAGTGTGGGGGGCCCACGTGGCACTGGATGTGGCCTGGAGGCTGCACGGTGGCCCCAGGGGCAGAAATGATGCCCAAGAGCAGACCTGGAGGTTGGGATCTGAAGAGCCGCGGGGCGGCCACCACAGCCAGCTGTGGGGGCTGTGGGGGCCAAGGGCGCTGTGTGTTCTGCCGCTCAGCACTGCGATCTGCCGCAGCAGCCAGGCAGCGCCGGGGAAGCTTCCCTTCCCTGGTGGGACTCTTACATGTGTTCCGTTCCTTTGGCAATGTAAGTCTTAAGTAAATGCTAATGACTTTTGTTGATTATTAAATATATAAAATACCATTAAGTCAAGCACATTTAATCAGTAAAACAATGAAATGTACTATGAGTTTAGCTGTGGCTAAGGCCGGGATATCCGCCTCGTGCTGAATGTGTTAATCGGGTTCACTTCTGAGAGCGAGGTTCTCTCTGTCACTCAGCACCACCCTCCTACCTGGTTCCTGACCCTGTATTGTAGGTAAGAGGGAGTTGTCTGCCCGCTCAGAAGGTTACCTGTCAGAGTCATCGCTTCTCACTCAGGTCCCCTCGTGTTCCAGAGGTTGGACCTGCCTCCATGATCGTTGGGAACCTGGTCGCCGGGAAGAGAATCGCTCAGGCCTCAGGGAGGGAGCTGTCTCACCTGGAGGACAGTGACCAGGCAAGGAAGGTAAGGGGGTGGCGTGGGGGGAGGTGGGGCCAGGAAGCCACCAGGCCTGACCCTTCCCCACCCAGGGGTGGGGTGGGGGCTGAAGAGGTGCCTAGGACGGCACCAGGCCTGACCCCTCCCTGCCCCTCCCGCAGTTCCTGTTCCTGCCCGATGTGCTGCAGTGGCGGGCCCACACCACCCCCGAACACCCGCTGTTCCTGCTGCTCAATGCCAAGGTGAGGCGGGCACTGCCGTGGTGGGCCGTGCTGCCCGTGTGGGCGAGGGCCCATGTCACACTCCAGCCACGTGCTCAGGTCTCCCCGGAGGACAGCGCTCCTTGACCTCCAGGCTCCCGGCAGGCGTCACGTTTGTTAGTCGCTCAGTCATGTCTGACTCTTTGTGACCCCGTGGACTGTAGCCAGCCAGGCTCCTCTGTCCATCGCATTCTCCTGCAAGAATACTAGAGTGGGTTGCCATTTCCTTCTCCAGGTGATCTTCCTGACTCAGGGATTGAACCCAGGTCTCCTGCATTGCGGGCAGACTCTTTACCGTCTGAGCACCAGGGACATCCGGGTGGTGTCATTCTCTTCATGAAAACCTCAGCTTCCACACAAGCCACAGTCACATTTCTGTGGATTTGTATTTAACAGGGAAATTCTCATTACCTTGTATTTTGATTATGAAGAGCATGCTTATAAATGGGGCTTCGCTGGTGACTCAGATGGTAAAGAAACTTCCTGCAATGCAGGAGACCCAGTTACTATCCCTGGGTCGGGAAGATCCCCTGGAGGAGGAAATGGCTCCCCACTTCAGTATTCTTGCCTGGAGAATTCCATGAACAGAGGAGCCTGGCGGACTTCAGCCCGTGGGGTTGCAAAGAGTTGGACACAGCTGAGTGACTGACACTTACACTTTTCACTTTCATACATGTAAATTCTCCTAAGTAAACTAAAAACAAATGTTTATTTTGTAAAAAGTACTTTAGACCTTCTTCCTTTGTTTGTAGCTGTAACACAACAAATAGGGCTTACAGCCCTAATCCTAGTAACTTTCAGTGGGTGTTATATGGTACCAGGAGCTTCTCAGGTATAAAGGAGAAACTGTAAGTTATGGGCCAGTAGACAAACTATGAAAACAGAGAGTAACCACGACCACTTTGCACGACTCACTGTTAGATGTGTCCCGGCCCGGGAGGACGCGTTTGCTCTGACGTCTTAGCAGCTCCAGGCTGGTTCTCAGAACTGCTTACTATTGGCCACTGTTTCTTCATTCAAAAAATATTGATCAATATCTGCTACATATACAGTGTTAAATAAGATTTTTTTTAAAAAGGCCCCTGTTCCCTAGACGCTGAAGCAAGTCTTCCTGCTAGAAAACCAGTGCTCAGGAGAGGTGCTGTCTTGCTGCTCACATGTATCTGCAGACCTGGACAATGTTCTGGAGACTTTTGTTTATGATTGATTGAATTTCGAAGCCAATAAGTAGCATTGACCAAGATTAAGTCAGCTTGTGGGAGAACCTTAAGATGGGTGCAGCCGGGACTCTAAGGCTTGCGAGGCAGGGTACTGGGTTTACCCTCGGTGTGTGCTGGGGGCCTGGATGTGAGCCTGAGGGTGTGATGGTTTAGTCTAGTTGCTAAGTTGTGTCCAACTCTTGTGACCCCGTGAATTGGGAACCTACCAGGCTTTTCTGTCCATGGGATTCTCCAGGCAAGAATACTGGAGTGGGTTGCCATTTCCTTCTCCAGGGGATCTTCCCAATCTAGGAATCGAACCCAGGTCTCCTGCATTGCAGGCAGATTCTTTACCGTGATGGGGTCCACAATTCTGGGTGATTCCTATGGGTTGTAAGAGGCTGAGGATGGGAGCAGGGGGCCAGGGCCATGGTCTAGGCACAAGCTAGCCATTCAGAGAAGAGGACAGGGGCTGTGGATGAGTGTGAGGTGTGGTTGGAGACAGGCTTGTGAGGGCGGCCTGGGTGCAGACCAAGTGTCTGTGCAGATGACGCGTTTCCCAGGGAGGAGGGACCACCGGTGGGAGTGTGCAGAGACACCACCAGGCCTAGGGTCGGCCACCAGTGCTCACGATTGTCTTTACAGCTAAGAGCTTGGGAGGGCCCTGCAGTTCCTTTCCAAAACCTTGGAAATATTTGCATTTCTTCTGGTTTGTCAGCCTCCTCAGGTTTAGGAGGACCTGAGGATGTGCTGGCCTTTGACCTGGGAGGAAGCCTGTGCCTCTGCGGGTGGTGTCCCTGGCATGAGGTGGCCCCTGGCCTTGGGGACTGGCAGAGCTCTGGGCCTTCGGGCTCCAGTGTGTGCCTGGTGTGGCGCTCTGAACCTCAGCTTGGGTGTGAGGAGTGAGTCTGACCCACCGTGCGAAGCCCCCAGGCCTGCATGCTGGGGCCCCAGCCGAGGAGTGGTGAGAGTTTAGATACTCCACTGGGCCATCCTGGAGGGTTAGTTAGGCTGAGTGGCACTGTGATTCTCCTGAGGACCGAAAGCGTGGGGTCGGCAGGGGGAGGGAGGGCTAGATTGGAGCTGGTCCCGGCCCAGCTGTCCTCTGCAGAGACCGGGTGTGGGGCAGCCCTACCAGCCACCTGTCCGCCCAGGCTCCCTGAAAGACCCACCTGTGGTGACCCAGGGCTTGGAGCTGGTGGGTGGGGCAACTGAGCGTGCGTCAGGGTTCAGTTCAGGGATATTTGTTTACTGCTTACTATTTACTTATGTGTGTTGATGTCCAGGAAAAGGGCTGCTTCTAGAGAGGGAAAGGATAGAATTGGGGGTGTATGTGGAGCGGTGATGATTTATTTTATAAAAGAGACATTGAAACAATGTGGCAGAACACTAGGTAATGAAAAAGTGGATGGCTGCTCATCACATTGTTCTTTACAGTATTTTTATATGTAAAATATTTTGTCATAAGAGCTGAAAGGGCTTCTTCACTCGCCAAGTCTGCCTGTGGTGGGCAAGCAGTCTCTGGGAGGCACAGAGGCCAGGGAGACAGCAGGCAGAGCTCGGGTGGCACCCGTCCTGGCCCCTGGCTGCAGGCTGCGCGTGGAGTGTCCACGTTCCCCACCCCCGCGCCCGGCTCAGCGTGCCCATGATTGCTTTCCTAGGGCACAGTCACCAGCACGGCAACCTGCATCCAGCTCCACAAAAAGGCCGAGCGAGTGGCCGCTGCTCTGACGGAGAAGGCGAGGCTCAGCGCCGGGGCCCATGTGGCCCTGGTCTACCCTCCAGGTAAGACCCGTGGGCCCTGCCCCCACCCTCGCCCGCCCGCTGTCCACGTCTGTACCCTGTGAGCACCCGCGGCGAGCTGTGAGTCCAGCCCTGCCCGTCGCGGTGCAGCCTGCCTTCCTCTTGCTCTTCTCACCAAGCTGTTCTTTCCCTCCCTCCCCCCACCCTGTTTTATTACCAAAAACAAGGCGACCAGGTCAGATGACGGATCTTAGCCTTTCCCGGCCCAACACTGGCTCCACTCTCCTAAAGCAGCCTCTGTCCTGACCTCCACGGTCATCGTTCCTCCCATTTCCTTATAGCCTGACCTCCCACAGCAAGCATCGTTGTCGCCACAGTGCAGTCCAGCTCTCTTCAGCGCTGACGCATTCTTAGTCCCCTGTGACCTGCGGGCTGTCCTCTCTCCGTCCCTCCCTGGGCCCTGGGCACTCCTGCTGGCCAGAGCGGCTTGTGTGTGCGGGCGGCTGCTCCTGAGCTACCGCGGGGAGCCCCGCATCAGACTCACTCCCCTCGCGGGACCCTGGGCGCCCTCGGGTGCTTCCTCCTCTTGTAGAAGTAGCACGCTGGCACCCATCCATGAGCTTGTCCCACGTCCATTAACTCCCTAGGGGTCACTAAGCGGTGGTGTGTTAACTCTGACCAGCCATAAACTAAACAGGCACTTCCCCTGATTAGGATCTGGTCACCCAGTGGTAGAATTCGCTGTGAAAGGTGGGATGCTGCGTCTCTGCTGCTGTCAGTGAAATGAGCTCTGCGCCCTTTCGCACTCCCGTGGGAGCTGCTCCTGGGCCCTCGGGTGTGACCTCCCGTCCTGACCTTGCCTCTTTCGTCTGCTGGAACCAGGTGCCTGGCCAGCTCTCCATGGAGCCTGGTGTTGGCAGCACCAGTCTGGGCACTGGGAGCTCATCCTTCCTGGGCTGGCCGCTGTCCCGTTAACCCTTTCTGTGATCAGAGTTCCAATTTGAAAATGAGAGTCATTGCTTCTCTTAGAGGCAGTGCCTCCTGAGTTCATGCTGTCCCATTCATTCAGACTCAGGATTATAGGTTTTCACAGAGCCTCGTCTCCATGATGTCTCTGTCTCCGTTTGTACTGAGGGTCCTGACTTCAGGCTGGGAGTCTGTAGAACTCACATGTGCCCAAACCACTCACATGCTTCATCCTGTGTCACATGCAGGACCCCCAAATAATGGCAGTCATACATGACCGCCCCCCCCACCCCATGTGAGTTTTCACACAGGCTTCCTCCACCCACTTTCCCTGTGGCTGTGCTGTCTCATGGGGTGGTGGGCGGGTGTGCAGGGGACACTGCGAAGCTGGCCTCTCCTCACCTGCAGCCCGCCAGGCCTGTGTTCGGGGCCTCCCAGCCACGCACATGTCCTCCTTTCCGTTCCGACGGTGCTGTTGCGTTGTCTCTGATGAGTGTCTCAGGAAGGTTCGTGGGGACGCTGTCCCCTGAGCTCTGGCCTGTTGAGGCCAGTCTGCACACTTTGTGGTGAGAGTCGTCCTTGCTTGGGCCTCAAACATGCCCATCTTCTCCCAGCCTCATGCATCAGGTTGGACTATGATCTGTTTTTCTTCTGTGACTCACTTGCACTTTTGCTCTCAGTGGTAGAAGGACATTTTCCCTTCTTAAAGTCCACTGTGTGATTGTGACATTGTTACAGATCAGCGTTCCCACATGGAAGGCAGCTGTGCTCACCACCCTTCCTCCAGGCAGGGCCACAGGATGTGTAAAGTGCCTATGAATACCAAGCTGCAAGCCTGCCTTCTAATCTCGGGGGAGCTTTCTCGAATCAGAGTCTTCTCTCTGCCCTTGCTTGGATCGTCTTGGCGTTCTTTCTCCTTGCTGCTCCCATCGCCCATGTTAGCTCTTCTCTGCCATTTTCCACCTTCTCTGTGTCCCTTGTCTTGTTTGCTCTTGGGCTCCTTCCAGTTCCATCTCCATTTCTGAATTGTTTTTTAAAATAACTTCTAGTTCTTTCCTCATTTGTTTATTTCTCATTTCGGTCATTCTCTTATATCTTGTATCATTTTCTTAATGTATTGCATCTTAGCACATGCTGAAAGGGCTGCAGTTCTTATCTGCTGTCTTTGTCTGGACAGATGATGATCGACCTCTGGTTCTTTTTCTTGTACCTTGTGTGGGACTTGGCCACCGTCAGGGAGCCTCCCTTCTCCTTTCTCCTTCTCTGCCCTGCCATGGGCTGTCCCAAGCTGGGCTGGATTGCTGGTCCCAAGTCCTCAGCTGCTCTCTGATCAGACCCACAGGGGTGGGGACAAGACAACCTCCTCCGGGACCTCCCTGATCAGGATGGCCATGCCCCTCAGGGCTCCAGATCCTCCCCCACTCCCTCCAGCCCCAGCTGCCCAGTGCAGCCCGACACCCTGTCCTTGCGGCAACTCTGTTCCGCCTGCTGGGTGCTGCTCTGACTCTCCTGCCCCTCTGCCCTGTCCTCTCCTGTCTCGTCTTGGGGTTTCAGTCCTGGCAGTTTTTCTCCTGTGTCTGGCGCCCAGGTGAGGGGCACTCAGAAGACCCTGAACTTTTCAGTGGCAACCTGTCCTTCCCTGAGCCAGGAATCCCAGGTTTCTGCAAGTGCTTCCACAGGGTTACAGGGGATGATCACCGCCCACCCTCCCCTCCCCTCCCCACTTCCTGTGTTTGTGGTCGTTTCACTTGGAAGCTTGTTGGTTCCAGCTCAGGAGTTTTACAAGGAAATGCCCGGGTCTGGGTCCTCTCTCACTTTCTTATCCACTTAATCCTCATCTCAGGAAAATGTTCTTTCTCGTTACTGCCTTTTCTTCCTCTTTTTCCTGCTTCTGGAATGCCGGAGTCCTGTTTTGGGGGCTGTTCTCTGAGACCCAGGTCTCCTGCGTGATGGCTTCCTTCATGTGTCCTCGGTGCCACTCCTGGGAACCCAGCCCTGCAGCACCGTCTCCCTTCAGCGTGTCTGCTGGGACGTGACTTGTGCTGGGCACTTTCTCTGCTGGTAAAATCCTGGGGCTGCTGTGGAGTTCTTCCCACACAGAGCCTGGCTGGTTTCTTGACACGGATGCTAGGTGACGTGGATGCTTCAGGACTCCCACTGGCATCGCAGTTACTCCTGCTGGTTCCAGTTCCAGGAGTGTGAGGTCATTTTTGTCCAGAACTGATGGCAGTTCCCATTCTTTCCTTATCCTTGGACGCAGTGCAGGGCACGCACCACTGACCGAGAGGAGGCACGGGGGACACACGGGCAGGCTGGGGAGGGGGCGGGTGGACATGCTGAAGTGACAGGAGGAAAGGAGGAAAGACGGATGGGGGCCTGATGCTGCCCTCTGCTTTGGGGCATTTTTGACACTATGTAAAAAGTGATAGTGCATGGTGAAGGTCTGAGTGTACATTTTTAAAACTTCGTAGCAGGAAGAGAGTGTGATTGACAGCTGGAGGGCAGACCACACCCTGCTCGAGGTGGGAGGGGGCAGGTGTTTGCAGGTGCACATAGGACCTGGTGTGCATCTCCTGTGAGGGGTGTGTGACCCTGCAGGAGCTGCAGGAAGTGGGGTGCAGGCAGGGGATAGCGGGAGCTGCATGAGCTCGAGGGTTCGAGCTGCTGGCGGTGCTTTCTGTGTGGCACGTTGGGCAGGGTGGCCGTGCTGCTGTGAGGATGCTTGCACATGTCAGCCTGCCTGTCTGTCAGCTCATCTGTCCCCTGAGCTGCCCACAGGCACAATGAGGATGGCTGGTCCCTGGTGGGGGAGCCTGGGCCGTAACAATGGCCACACTGAGCGCCCCTGGCCCTGATGGAGCATCGGGGACTTGTAGTGTGGTGAAACCCACGAGCTGGGTCAAACACTGCGTATTTATTTTGACTCAGGAATCAAAACAGCCTGAGCCTGATGTTTTGTAGCCTAGTGATGCCAGGCAAGGCCTTGTCTCAGTTGAGGGCAGTGTCTTCAGGGTGTGGGGTGCAGGTGGTCTTAAGTCTGAATGAGGTCAAAATGGGAAAGCTAGATTTTAAGTGTGGTTCGGTTCCCCCTGGTTTTAATTACGGAGAATTTTAAATACATAGACGAGTTGAAGGAGCTGTGAGTGGTCCCACATTGTGTTGAGAGATTGAGAGCAGGGCAGGGACATCCTGGCCCCTCTCTGGGGGTGTAGGTCTCCCCAGGGAAGGACTAGCCCCCACGTTAGGGTGGAGATGCAAGGAGGAGGTGTGGCGTTGCTGGGGTGGGCAGCTCACCTTCAAAGTGTCCTGCCAGCCTCACCCACCCACCTACAGACTGCCCCGGAGGGCAGAACACGCTGCTCCACGAGGCCTGGGCCTCCCGTCCGCTATAGGCTCCTCTGGGCTATGGCTGCACCCCACCCACCTCCTTGTCTCCTTGGGTCTGGGCCAGGGGCGACCTGTCCCTCCCTACAGAGCTGTTTGGGGTGCACGCTGTGGTGCGAGGAGGGTGGTTTTGTTCACACACAGTAGGTGGACCCACAGCCTGGACATTTGGGGCTGCCTTTGACCCGCTGACACCCTCTGATCATGTCTCCCCAGGGGTGGACCTCATTGCTGCCTTCTACGGCTGCCTGTACTGCGGCTGCGTGCCCGTCACCGTGCGGCCCCCACACCCCCAGAATCTCGCCACTACACTTCCTACTGTCAAAATGATTGTGGAGGTAGGTTGGCATCGCGGCCTGACTGTGGTGGGCCTGAGCGCGATGTGCTCCCAGGCGCTGTCTCAGCTGTGCCCTCAACCCTGCGTCCTGCAGGTCAGCAAGTCTGCGTGCGTGCTCACCACGCAGGCCATCATGCGGCTGCTCAGGTCCAAAGAAGCAGCGGCCACCGTGGACGCCAGGACCTGGCCGACCATTCTGGACACAGGTGTGTGTGTGCTGCCCCTAGGATCAGCCGTCTCCTTCGTTTGTTGCAGGGATTGCGCTGTCACCACCCAAACACAGAAGCTGGGTGAGGAAGCTTGAGTAGGTGGTGAGAGGAGCCTGGCCAGTGGGGTACTGGCAGCCCATCCAGCACCTCGAGCCTAAAGCAGGTGCCCAGAGCGGAGGGTGGCCAGTGGGGAGCAGAGGTCCTTCCGAGGCCATGAGCCTATAGACAGACGCCTCCTCCTGCACACAGCAGTGGGCAGCTGTGGGGACCAGACCGCTCCCACAGTGCATACCCCTGCCGGGTTGCCAGGAGAGTCACACGGGCCCTCTGCCTGGGCCTGCTGGGTCAGCCTGAGGGCTGAGAGGGTCCCAGCCCCTCCCTGTCAGGACACCCCAGACCAGCCGCTTTCTGCAGGCTCTGTGGGGAATTCAGGGTACACGGCCACACAGGTGCCTGCTGGCGAACAGACAGGGTCCCTCCTTCCCCATCATGCCTGTGGGTGTGGCTGCCTGTCCTTACCCACCAGGGCAGGGCCCACAAGAGGAGGTTTAGGACCATGTGTCCACGACCACCTGCTTGATTCCACTACAGGCTCTGGGAGCTGGCCCAGGCAGCTGGTGGCAGGGGGTCTGGGGTGGGCTCTGGGCAGACGGGCTCGAAGGAGTCCTGTTGCCTCACTCGCTCCCTGCCCCGCCTCACCTGTGCCCACCTGTGCATGGCCAGCGCTGTGCCCTGTGGTCCTGAGGGAGTGGGATGAAGTTGGGTGAGGGAGCTTGACCCAGCTTCTCAGTGCTCACTGCGCAGAAGTGGCAGTGAGCCTGGCTCATCACAGGCTCCGGGACCCAGCCAAGTCTCTGCTCCTCCGAGGTCCTGGGAGGGCTCTCACGGGCTGCCTTCTCCCGTCTGTGTCCACCACACCCGCTGTCAGCCGCCACACACTCAGTGTGGTTAGCGAGGGTCCTCTCCACGTGGCCTCCCCCATGTGCACATGCAGCCCGACCTGTGCTCTGAGCTCCCTGCTCCCCTTTGCCTGCAAGCACTGAAGGGGCATCCCTACCACCTGTGTCTCCTGGTGCCCAGATGACATACCCAAGAAGAAGGTGGCCAGCATCTTCAGGCCCCCGTCCCCGGATGTGCTCGCGTACTTGGACTTCAGCGTGTCGACGACAGGGATCCTGGCGGGTGTGAAGGTGGGTCCTCTGGCTGGAGCCCCTGTCTGCTTCATCCCTGACACAGAGGGTACTGATGCGGGTCTGTGCAGGCCCTTCTTCCTCCCAGAGCTGGAAGCAGCAGTTTTGCTCCTTAAAGTTTGTGTTAAATATCAATAAACCCCCAAATCAGGTTAGCCTGAAGAGTAATGCATGTCTTGATGTTTTATGGTGATACCTAAACTTTCTGATTCATGACTCTGGCCTCAACAACCAAGTGGCTTGGATGAGTCTGTCACCAAAAGCTCTGTTAAAATTCTTTATTGCCCTGAAGTCTCGCCTAGAAGGTTTTTAGCGTGCATTCCTGGGGATCTTTTGGTGCATGTGGCTTTTACTCCTTCAGATGTCGCATGCGGCCACCAGTGCCCTGTGCCGCTCCATCAAGCTGCAGTGTGAGCTGTACCCGTCCAGGCAGATTGCCATCTGCCTCGACCCCTACTGTGGCCTCGGCTTCGCCCTGTGGTGTCTCTGCAGGTGGGTGGAAGGTGGATGTGCGGGTGGGTGGAGGTTGGGTGTCAGGTGAGTGGAGGGTGGGTGTGCAGGTGGGTGGAGGGTGGGTGTGCAAGTGAGTGGAGGGTGGATGTGCAGGTGAGTGGGAGGTTGGTGTCAGGTGAGTAGAGGGTGAGTGTACAGGGGGGTGGACTGTGGGTGTGCAGGTACAGCTCCACCCACTCCTCCTTACCACCTGCTAGCTGAATTGCTTCTCTAAAGTTCCCCCCCCTCCCCACCCATATCTCTGAGATACATTGTTAAGGGTCCAGGAAGCAGAGGATACATGTGTGAGTGGCTGGAGTGTGGGTCTGAAATTGAGTTAAAGGGTAAAAGTGCATTTTTATTAAATGCACACTCTCTGTTACTACCATTCCATCCAGGACAGGGAAGTAGGGATCCATCTTCAGGAGGAGAAGCCAGCCCTGCCCGCAGCGGGCCCCTCACAGTGACCCTGGGTCCTTGAATGTGGGTGGGGGGGACCTGCGTCCCACGGGCGGGTGAGCAGAGCAGGAGGGGGACTCTGCCTGGAGGGGCAGATCCCTGAGGGGCGGGATGCGGTGCTGACCCGCCCCGTCGCTGCCCCAGCGTCTACTCGGGACACCAGTCGGTACTGGTGCCCCCGCCGGAGCTGGAGACCAACGTGTCCCTGTGGCTGTGGGCCGTCAGCCAGTACAAGGCGCGCGTCACCTTCTGCTCCTACTCCGTGATGGAGATGTGCGCCCGGGGCCTGGGCGCGCAGACGGCGGCGCTCAGAGTGAGTGCGGGCGGGCCTGGAGAGCCCCCAGGGCCAGTTGCAGAGGGAAGAGGGGGCTGGAGACAGAAAACCCTCCCAGGGGGCCCTGCCCCATGCTGAGAGCTCCACCCCCACGCATACCTGCGGAGCTCCCGCAGCGGCCCCTCCCTTCTTCTGGGGTCCGACCCTGGCTCTCTGAGGCCTAGTGGTCCCCATGGCCTGGGGCTGGAGTGTCGCGGCGGAGGACGGGTGTGGGGGCGCAGAGGCGCAGACCCCAGGGGCTGGGGCTCCGAGCAGTTCGGCCCTTGAGTGCAGACCCAGGCGTGGCACACGCGCTCCTCCCGCAGATGAAGGGCGTGAACCTGTCGTGTGTGCGCACCTGCATGGTGGTGGCTGAGGAGCGGCCCAGAATCGCGCTCACACAGTCCTTCTCCAAGCTGTTCAGAGACCTGGGGCTGCCCGCGCGCGCTGTGAGCACCACATTCGGCTGCAGGGTCAACGTGGCCATCTGCCTCCAGGTAAGGCAGCGGGACTTCCTCTGGGCGCCTGTGCACACCCTGCGCTGCCCTATCCTCTGGTCCCTTCTGCCCTCCAGCCTTTTGCATTTTCTAAATATGGCTTTGAGAACTGAGCATTTTCGTTTAAAAAAGATTCTGTTCTTGATGAACAAAGGCTTATTTGGAAAAAGGGCAAGTTGTTTTCGAAAAGTGACAATTACGGAGAGGAATTTATAAGCTGAATACAGTATGTAACTAATATTCTAAAGCAAGATTAAATTTATTGCTTTGTAAGACACCTGGCAATTTTAAATGGAAACATTAATGAGTGTGATAATTTATATTGCCCTAAATTCATTCTTGAAACACTGAGGTATTTTACTTTTTAAAAGGAAACAAAATTTCAGAACAACTCATTATAGCAATGGTGTTCTGCTTCTTCAGGGGCCTGGGGCTCTTTTCCAGGCTAGTATCTCAATCCCTGTTCTTTCTAAAATGCATTGCATGCACCTGCTCCCGCATTCAGGGTTGTTGGGAGGAAAGGCCTCAGGAGAACCACAGTCCCTCGTCCCCCAGCCCCGGTCCTGACCAATGCCTGCCGGGCGCAGGGTGTGTCTGGACTGGGGAGATCAGTGTCCTGTTGTCCAGTTCCTGTGACACCCTCTCCACAGTATAGATGGCTGACCGTCCAGGTCTCGGGAAGAAGTGGGTGGGTCCCTCGGGAAATCCCTCCTGATGTCGATGGTGCCGCTGCACCTCGACGGGTGGTGTGGGGGTGGTGGCCGTAAGCGCAGCCCTGTGTCCGCTCAGCGTCTGGGAGCCGGTCCTCCTTCCTGGCTGTTGCTGTGTGCGCTTCGAGATGCAGTGATGCGTTTTGCTCTCTCTCAGCTCCTTCCTCACGTGCCTGTGCTCTCTGTTTGTGTTTCCTGTGGCGTCTCTTCCCTGTCTCGCTCTGCTGGCCTCCTTTGTGTCTGTCAGCCCAACAGGCTGGGAAAGCTGGCTGAGCAGGTATGACCCTGACCTCGACCTCGAGGTACCTCTGTGCTTCTGTGAGTTCACGTGGCCTCTCGTGGTCTCTCTCCTTTGTAAAAACGAGTTTAAGAGCAGAGTATTTTCAGAAGTATTTAGCATTCACAGTCTGCTGCCTCTGGAGGAAGAGCCATCTTCATTCCAGGGCAGACGTCGGTGACGTTGTCTGGGATCGCCAGAGGACGGTGTTGGGGCAGAGTGTCCGTGTAGTTTGACGTTCAGTGTCTAACAGAAGGGACGGGCTGTCCTCTGTCAGGGCCAACGTCAGGTGTCAGGTGAGAGGAGCGGAGTGGCAACATCATTGAACATCCTGCTGAGGCCTCACCCCTGGAGGAGTCGCGCTGTGCTCAGCCCTCAGGAGAATTAGGTCCGAGCAAGGGCTCAGGGACATGCCCCCAAACCCACGGTGGTGTTTTCTCAGGGACCGGTGGGAATGGAAGCTGTCGGGACTGAAATGTGAGATTATTTGACTTGATCTCTCCCTTCAGTGCTGGGGGAGGTTTCCCGCCATGTCAGCAAGTCTTGTAAGTGTTTGGAGGGAGGCAGACGCCTGCTGAGGGCAGAGCCGTTGCCTTCTGCCCCCACCCCCGCCCCCTGGCTCAGAGGAACTCTGCCTGTGTGCATGCCACAGCCCTGGGAACGGTGGGCGGGCGGTTTGCGCAAACGTTCCTCTGCTCCCCTTGCAGGGCACAGCCGGCCCAGACCCCACAACTGTCTATGTGGACATGCGGGCGCTGCGCCATGACAGGTAACGGCCCCCAGCCCCTCAGCCTGGCCCTCCCTGCTCACTGTGTCCCTCCTTTTTAAAATAAGGTATTTTACTTGTTTATTGGCTGCGCCGCGTCTTCACTGCAGCGCTCAGGCTTCTCACTGCAGTGGCCTCTCTAGTTGCAGGGCACAGGCTCTAGGTGCTTGGGCTCAATGGTTGCGGCACATGGCCTTGGTTGCCCCTCAGCATGTGGGATCTTCCCGAACCAGGGGTGGAACCCATGGCCCCTGCATGGGCAGGAGGATTCTTAACCACTGGACCGCAGGGAAGTCTCACCATGTCCTCCTTTAATCAGTCATTCCCACGACCAGGAGGGGAACGACCTTCCAAGAGTGACCGAGCATTTGACACTTGGATTTTTATGGGTAAAAAACAAGAAGACCCGTCTCCAGGCAGGATGTAGGCATCCGGTCAGCAGATGTGTCCTGGGGGCCACGGTGTGTGTGCCTACAGGTTTGGGTCCCTCCCAGCTTTAGAGCCAGATCCTGGTTCTGACCCTCACATTCAGCTTGTGGGAAACCGTGTTGGACCTTCCTGGAGGGCGAGGCCAGCTGGCCAGGGGCTCCTGTCCTGAGTGCTGCTAGTTGAGCCAGGCACCTGAAGTCACTGTCCCAAGGTCACAGCAAGGTCATGATCAAAGGCTAAAGGCTTGGCTGTCGTCATGGGACTGGCCGTCACAGTGCTAATCAATTCTGATTACCTTATGAGTTGCCTTCTTTAGAGATTGTTGTCTGTGTAGCCAATTTTATTTGTTTTCCTTGTTCATTTGTAGGGTACGTCTGGTGGAACGGGGTTCTCCGCACAGTCTGCCATTGACTGAGTCCGGAAAGGTAGTGGCGTGGGGCTTGGCTTCCAGCTTATGTCCCCTGAGGTCCGGCTGGCCTGACCTCCTTGCATACACACACACACACACACACACACACACACACTCGCACACACACAGACACACATACTCACATGCATTCACACAATCACATACACAGGCACACACGCTCAGACACACTTACACATCCTCACATATAGGCACACATACACAGACACATACAGACTCATGCACACATACACTCACACACCCATACACATACACTCACACACATATGCACACACACGTACATGCACACACACTCTCACCCACTCTCTACATCTTTCTGTCCACATCTGAGCTCCAGCCCAGAGGGAGGACCTCAGATGCAGACCTGCAGGAACAGCATTGCTGGGTCTTGAGGCCCTGGTGCCTTTGTGCGGTCAGGAGCAGCCCCCTGGGCCCTGGAAGAGCTTCTCCCCTGGCTCAGGTGACAGCCAGGCAGTATCCCCAGTGGCAGTTCAGCGCTAAAGCAGTCCAGGCCTGTTTCCGGCGCAGGAGCTGTGCAGGGGCTTAGGTGGTGGGGCCCTGAGGCCACCCAAGGGCACCCAGGGAAAGACTGGGTCACCACGAGGGCTCAGCAGGCATAGACCCAGGAGAGCAGGCATCTTCAGAACCAGGGGAGGTTCGGAGGAAGGAAGAAGGCTCCCAGGAGCGGTCAGGCAGGGTGAAGGGGGAGGGACTTGAGGGGGACGCGCGGCAGAGCAGAGCCAGCACAGCTCCCGGCCCTGCTCACACAGGAGGCTGCCTCAGGAGGCTGTGCCCAGAGAGACACAGGGCAGCAAGGGCAGCACTGAGCGAGCCCGGGTGAGTGTGGGAGAGGAGCTAGTAAAGGCTGTGCACCCCCCGAGGGCGGCCCCAGAGGAGGAGCAGGGGCGTGGGGAGCAGGCTCAGCTGGTGTGAAGGTCCTGGGGCCACAGAGAGGCCAGAGTGGCTGGAGCTTCACGGACTAGAGGAAAGGAGGCAGTGTGTGGGTGTCGGAGGGAGGGGCTGGGGGCTGGAGATGGTCCCGGGCTCCCCCACCCTTCCCTGGGTGCATAGACATGTCCCACTGCCATCTGCATTGTCCTTTCTGTAAACATGGTGGTTTTTCTCAAAACAGTTCTTAATTCTTTCTGGTACATTTTTTTCCTATCACATGCGGCTCTGCACTCAGTTTTTATGGACTTACCCCCCCCCCCGCCCAGTATTTCTGTTACAATAACTTGCGCCTGATGTACTGGGGTTCTGGGAAGAGCTCTGGGTCCTCAGGGTCCAGGTTGGTAACACGGGGAGAGGTCAGAGGCTCAGCAGCGTCCCGTGGGCAACAGAGCCTGACCAGCCTTCCATGACCCCTCGCCTCTCCCCCACCTGCTGGAAGTCTCCACCATCATCTCGTGTTTTACACCCAGGGAAACTAAGGACACAGAATAGATATTCAGAAGCAGCCAGTGTAGTCCCAGGTCCCAGCAGTTCCAGGTCCAGTGGGGCCCCAGGCCCCAGGTGGGGGCGCTAGACTTAAAGCACCCTCCCCCAGCCTTCTCCACAGCCTCTGGTGGGCATGGAGCCCCAAGTCTGGGGGCAGGAATACCTCTTGGTGGCCAGGTTTCCTTCCAGAACCAGATACTCTGGGGCCGGGTAGAGGCCCAGCGAAGCTGTGTTTGGACTCCCTGCCCTCAAGAGCCTGAGAGGGTCCTCAGGGAAAGATCCCCTCCTCCCCTCTCAACATCCAGAATAGAGTTTATTCTTAGGAGCTGGGTGATTTTGCTAAGATTCACAGTTTATTTTTATTTATTAAAATCTCTTACTTCTGTTTAAATTCAGTCAGATTTAGGTCGGCTTCTGAACCTAGTCACGTCCGTGTGCGAGTCACGTCCTTTAGATCAGCTTCGAAGGGCATTGTTTTTGCCACTCTTGGGCCAGGAGGGCCACGTGCCCTCTGACGAGCACGGTTCTCCTTCCAGATTCTCCCGGGAGTGAAGGTCATCATTGCCCACACGGAGACCAGAGGGCCCCTGGGAGACTCGCACCTGGGGGAGGTGAGGATGGGGACCCCACCTCTCGCCGGCTGCTGGGTGTGCATGCAGGTTGCTCCCCGTTCTTCCTCTGCGATGAACTGTGTACACTGCAGCCCTGCAGCTCTCACTCAGGGGTCCACAGAGGGGAATGGTTTGTTTGAAGGAGAGAATTCTTTGCTCTCTGGGCCTCTGTCGTGACTTAGTTCAAGCGCCTTACCCCTACCCCACTGTGTGCTGCCGTGTCTTGGGACACATGGTGCCTGGCACTTGTGATGACTGACCCCCTTGTGTTCTGGGCCCCAGATCTGGGTGAGTAGCCCCCACAATGCCACCGGGTACTACACAGTCTACGGGGAAGAGGGGCTCCATGCCGACCACTTCAGTGCCCGGCTGAGTTTCGGAGACACCCAGACCGTTTGGGCGAGGACTGGCTTCCTGGGCTTCCTTCGAAGGACAGAGCTCACCGACGCCAGTGGAGGTGAGGGCTCCTTTGCAGTGCTCACCCCCAGTCCTGGGGCCGCCACAGCTAGGAGCCCATACAGGCAGTGTCTTGGGACCTCCTGCCAGCTCACCTCACCCCTTCCTAGGAGCAGGGTTCTTTAGGTGCTCTGATACGGTTTCTCTGAAAGTTGCTCCTTTTCCTTCACTCTTCCTGGATCCTGGCCTCTGCTGAGGGTGTGGGGGTACTGGGAGAGGCTGTTGGGCCCCCCAGGCAAAGCCATGGGCATGTCTCACCAGCCATGTATCAGGGCCTCCCCATACATCCCCCCAGGGTCACAGAGTCCACGGCCACAGCAGGCTGGCCAGATGCAGTCAGAGCTCTGGGGGCCCCTGTAGCCGCTGCCTTGTCTCTGAGACAGTAGGAGTTGTTGTTCTGTACTCTTTACACGTGGGCGCGCACGGCAGGAGGCTTCAGCAGGGAGCCATGCTGAGGCGGTCACCTGTGCCATCTGCAGAGCGACATGACGCGCTGTACGTGGTGGGGTCCCTGGACGAGACGCTGGAGTTGAGGGGCATGCGCTACCACCCCATTGACATCGAGACGTCCGTGATCCGTGCGCACAGGAGCATCGCTGAATGGTGAGGGCCCGGGGAACCAGCTGGCAGCTCTCACGCGGTCGTACACGTGTGGGCAGCCACCTCCTCTCCAGGAGCAGACCCCAGACACACTCTGCAAGTCACGCGCCAGAGACCCCTTGTTTGGGTTTGCTTGGTTTTTCCTCTTCTCTTAATCAGTCTTAAACTAAGAGTCTGTCCCCAGATGCACAGGCAAAATGTGAGTGCCCCATGGTTACTCTGAAATGCCTCTGCGTTTACATGGATTTCCTAATTTAAATGATCAAGACGCATGATTTCCTCACTTTATAGGGAAGTTGCATTGGGAAAAGTACAGCTTTCAATATCAAATAATATTCTTGATTCTTCTTGTTGTTCAGTTGCTAGGTTGAATCCAGCTGTTTGTGACCTCATGGACTGCAGCATGCCAGGCTTCTCTGTCCTCCACTATCCCCTAGAGTGTGCTCACACTCATGTCCATTGAGTCGGTGATGTCATCCAACCATCTTGTCCTCTGTAGCCCCCTTCTCCTTCTGCCCTCGTTCTTTCCCAGCATCAGGGTCTTTTTTCATTGAGTGAGCTCGTCACATCAGGTGGCCAAAATGTTAGAGTTTCAGCTTCAGCATCAGTCCTTCCAGTTGAAACTGGTTCTGATGTGATGTAGCCTCAGAGTATAGGCTGTACTTGAGCTCACGGCTCTTGTGAGGAGAAAAATTCCCTCACCGGGCCAGGTGGATGATAGAGACCACTTGAGGCTTGTAGTGAGACTTTTGGACTCTGTGGGAGAAGGCGAGGGTGGGATGATCTGAGAGAATAGCATTGAAACATGTATATTATCAAGTGTGAAACAGATCGCCAGCCCAGGTTGGATGCATGAGACAAGTGCTCAGGGCTGGTGCACTGGGAAGACCCAGAGGGATGGGATGGGGAGGGAGGTGGGAAGGGGATCGGGATGGGGAACACATGCAAATCCATGGCTGATTCATGTCAATGTATGGCAAAAACCACTACAATATTGTAAAGTAATTAGCCTCCAACTAATAAAAATAAATGGAAAAAAAAAAGAAATAGAGTTTATTGAAAAGGAGCAGAGAAGACTTCCGTCACAGACATCAGAAGTGGGTAGAAAGAGTACCCACGTTGCTAACTTGAGCAGAAAATTATATACTTTTCAGTTGGCTGATAAGAATAGGTAAAAAGAATATCTCAAGATTGTAAAAGTTCCACGAGACCCTTTCCCAAGGCATCCTGAGATAACTTCAGTTCGAGATTAGCCAGAAGGAACGAGTTCCTGTTGAGGAGGAAAGCATGCCTTTAAGCAAGATATTGTTGCTATATAATTATTAACACGGTGCCTGCATGGCTGCTAAGATAGAATTTGGACCTCACCCCTAAGGGGCCTTGGACTGCGTATCAACCTGGCTGAAGGTAACTATATCACAATGAGAATTCAGGGTTGATTTCGTTTAGGATGGACTGGTTGGATCTCCTTGCTGTCCAAGGGACTCTCAAGAGTCTTCTCCAGCACCACAGTTAGGAAGCATCAATTCTTCAGTGCTCAGCCTTCTTTATGGTCCAACTCTCACATCCATACATGACTACTGGAAAAACCATAGCTTTGATTATACAGACCTTTGTTGGCAAAGCAGTGTCTCTGCTTTTTAATATGCTGTCTAGGTTTATCATAGCTTTTCCTCCAAGGAGCAAGTTTCTTTCAGTTTCATGGCTGCTATGATTTTGGAGCCCAAGAAAATACAGTCTGTCACTGTTTCCACTTTTCCGCCTTCCATTTGCCATGAAGTGATGGGACCAGATGCCATGATCTTAGTTTTTTTAATATTGAGTTTTAAGCCAGCTTCTTCACTCTTCTCCTAACCCTAACCCGTCTGGTCCCATCAGTTCATAGCAAATTGGAGGGGAATAATGGAAGCAGTAACAGATGCTTCTTCCTTTGAAGGAAAGCTGACAAAGGTCTGTATAGTCAGAACTATGGTTTTTCCACCTGATGCAAAGAACGACTCATTAGAAAAGACCCTGATGCTGGGAAAGATTAAGGACAGAAGGAGAAGAGGGTGGCAGAGGACGAGATGGCTAGATGGCATCACCAACTCAGTGGACATGAGTTTGAGCAAATGCTGGGAGACAGTGAAGGACAGGGAAGCCCGCTGTACTGCAGTGCAAGGATCATAAAGAGTTGGACACGACTTAGTGACTGAGCAACAACTGCATTCGGACTCTGGCTGACTATGAGGGCTGCTCCATTTCTTCTAAGGGATTCTTGACCACGGTAGTAGATACAGTGGTCATCTGAATTAAATTCACCCATTCTCCTCCCCTTTAGTTTGCTGATTCCTACGGTGTCAGTGTTCACTCTTGCCATCTCCTGCTTGGCCACTTCCAATTTACCTTGATTCATGGACCTAAGATTCTGGATCTCTACGCAATATTGTTCTTTCATCAGATGTTCTTTTCACCACCAGACCCATCCACAACTGAGCTTCATTTCCACTTTGGCCCACTGCTTTATTCTTTCTGGAGCTCTTAGTAATTGCCTTCTGCTATTCCCCAGTAGCCTGTTGGACACCTTCCGACCTGGAGGGGCTCATCTTCTGGTGTCATATCTTTTTTGCCTTTTCATACTGTCCCTAGGGTTCTCTAGGCAAGAATGCTAAAGAGGGTTGGTCCTCCAGTGGACCATTTTTTGTCAGATTTGTCTTGATTCTTGGCGAGAACTTTAATTGGAATAGATATTCCAATGAAACACACTTAGCCAGACCTTTGAATTGTAACTGACTTGAGCAGAGGATGACACCAGTGAACCTACTTCAGGATGTTTCAATGGCCTTTGTCTGACATCATTTCCTGTGTGTCCTTGGCCCCTGAAGCCAGTGCCCAGCCCCATGTGACACCATTCACCTTCTCCCTGCAGTGCCGTGTTCACGTGGACCAACCTGCTGGTGGTGGTAGTGGAGCTGGATGGGCTGGAGCAGGACGCGCTGGACCTGGTGGCCCTGGTGACGAACGTGGTGCTGGAGGAGCACCACCTGGTGGTGGGCGTGGTGGTCATCGTGGATCCGGGTGTCATCCCCATCAACTCCCGTGGGGAGAAGCAGCGCATGCACCTGCGTGATGGCTTCCTAGCCGACCAACTGGACCCCATCTACGTGGCCTACAACATGTGAGCCCGCTCAGCCCCGACCAGCTGGACCCCACCTGCGTGATGGCTTCCTAGCCAACCAGCTGGACGCCATCTACATGGCCTACAACACGTGAGTCCACTCAGCCCCGACCAGCTGGACCCCATCTATGTGGCCTACAACACGTGAGCTCATTCAGCCCTAGCCCAAAAGCGGCCTCGCGAGCCATCAGAGGGGCTGGGGTGCATTTGCATCCCCTGGGGAGAGGACCCCAGGCTCCTGAGCACAGGGCCCCGCCATGCACTTACATACCCATCTCAATCTAGAAACCACTTCCTGGATTACTCAAAACCTTTTAATCATCTGGGACATTTACAGAAACATGAATGTCAATATTGCAACAGATGGTGTGACTGGGGAAGAAGCCTGGTGCAGGCACTGCAGGTGCTGTAGGTGTAATCCTCTGCTGTATTATGAATTTGCACTTTTTTTAGGCTAAAAATACAGTTCTTGATTTTAAAAAATTCAACTCTTTATACCATTTCAAATGACAAGGTCATACTTAGAATTTATGCCAGAAGGAGTTTGAGGCCCAAGGACAGCTGCTTCAGTTCTGATTCACAGGGAAGAGCAAGATACAGAAAGGCTGGTGGGCAGGGCAGGATCCTGGCCTGGCCCCCTCTTCCCCACCCCCGACCTGCTCTGGGCCCCAGACCAGGCTCAAGCGTACACACTTCCTCTCTGAACACAGGTATGCTGGCTGCCTGCCTGTGTCGTCTCTAACCTTGACAGGGTCCATCAGGTGAGCAGCTGTTTCAGAAAGATAAAGGAACGCTGAGTTTTAAACCTCTTTCTGAGTTTCTGACTTCTTGCTGTTCAGCTGAAGTGCTGATTTTCATGACCACAGTATAGGATCTTCTCGCTGTCCAAAAATGTACTGAGTTACTGTTTTTATTCCACATCAGTAGATGTGGACTCACCGGTGGGCTGAGGATTACCCGTGCGGTGGTACAGCCTGGGGCCCGGGAGAACTTTGCTGGCCACTATCGCATCTTGAGTTGTGTGCCTGTAAAATTTGGCCAAATCATGTTCACTTATTTTATTTGAACTCAACTAAACTGAGTGATATAATATTATAGTAAATCTAAATCAGAGAACATGAAATCCTTTAGATACTTCTAAGAATTTAAAGTGAAGCTTGAATCTAAGACAGAATATTTTTGTATCACTAATAAAAAATGTTACGAGTTGTCAGGGACTGTGGGTCAGAAGGTTTATGAATCACACGCTTCCTAGAAACAGCCAGGTTTTTCTGGAATTAGCCTGAATCAGTGCCTAATAGTTGTTAATTCTTTACCATTTAAAATTCTCCACCAAAAAGGCCTGGCTGACTGGGCTGACTCTCACGTCTAACTCTTTCTTGGCTACAAGTACCTTGTGCTCAGTAGCTCTTGGCGTGCCCTGTGGTACGTAAGAACATACTGGAATTGAACAGTCCTCGTGTAATTATGTATATAACATGTGTAACTTATTGGTTGACATACAGAGGTTCTAGCAGTGGACTAAGGGATATTCCTCATAACAGAATGGCCTGTAGGAGAGGAACCACCCAGCCCTTTATGTTGTCATTTTATAGCAACAGGCATTGTAAAATTTTTGTATTGAAAGGTAAGTGGCAGTAAGACATGTCTTGTAAATTAAGATTTTAAGAAGCATTAAAATGTTTTAAAATTACTCTCTGGGAATTCTGTATGTCAGAGAAAATTTTTATATCATTATGTTAATAAAAGTTATGGACTGTTTGTAATTCTGCCATTTGAAATGTGTGAAAAGGTTTTTAAAATTACCCCAAATAGCAGGTATTTTATTATGCATTTTTCTTTGCTGAATATAGAAGCATTTATGCTGAAGCATAAAATCTACAAAGCACATTAAAGTATAAAGAATAAAATTTAAATCTCCCATAATCCTACCTCTCGTTAATGACAGTGTGTTAGTATTTGATGTAAATCCTTTCAAGATTTTATTTTTTTCTTTAAAAACACTTTTACAAAATTAGGTCAGTCATATACTTTTATAATCAGCTTTTGTACTTGATAAATTAGGCTTTTAATCTGTTACATATATTCTTCTACATGTTGTCACACAGCGGTTGGGGGCAGCTTGTCCTCACAGGCTCTGTCGGCATCCTTTCAGCCCCGCTGCCATGAGCCTCCTCATGGGTGCACGTTCATATGCACGGCCTGCCTGGGGCTCAGCTCTACTTATTTGACTGACAGCTGTGGGCACTCCATCCTTGGAAGGGCGCAGGCAGAGTGGAGAGGCTGTTCCTGGAAACCTGAGAGCACTGGCAATAAAAAATGAGTCCCTGTCAGTCAAATAAGTATCCTGTCTAGTGGTGCTGTATATGTTTTCTTGTGTTTGTGGTCATTTTACTTTCTCATTTGATGTGCTTTACTTGGCAGTTCTTATTGTGTGCAAAGGTTATTTTTTTTTTTAATTGATTTGTAGGACCTGGTTTATGTTAAGGATCAGAACCTCTGTATAATCCATACTTTTCCTACTGGGCCATTTGTATCTTGATTCTCTGTTTTTATTTTTAATTGAAGGATAATTGCTTTACAATATTGTGTTGTTTGTTTTTTAAATGTACTAATTATTTTGTGCAAACTAACGTTACTTGTACTTAATTTCATATGAGTATAACTGACTTGTTTCAGAGAGATTGTCCCGGGATGGTCAGCTCAACCCTTTGGGGGAATGACTTACCTCCTGTGTTTGCCTCTTCCTGTCAGAGTCTGCCAGAGTCTGCCAGAGTCAGACCCTCTTGCCAGGGTCTCTCCCTGAGAGCAAGTGTTGTTGGTGAATCATGCACATACTACTTGCTGGTGCAAAAAGAAGAGAGGAGCATTCTCTTTCTACCTGAGATCATGCTGCATAAGTTTTAGGTCTTGAGTTAAAGAAGAAACACTTCCTCTAAACTGGATGCAATAATGGTGTAATAACACCATGTATAGCATTTGTTCTCTTTGCTCTGATACTCATTTGGCTTCCCAGGTGGCACTAGGGGTAACGAACATGCCTGCCAATGCAGGAGCCATAAGAGAAGTGGGTTTGATCCCTGGGTCAGGAAGATCTCCTGGAGTAGGAAATGGCAGTCCACTCCAGTATTCTTGCCTGGAAGATCCCATGGATAGAGGAGCCTGGCTGGCTACAGTCCATAGGGTCGCAAAGAGTCGGACACAGCAAATTACTCAGCACTCTTGATACTCAATTTCAGTAATAAAGAATTCTTTTAAAAGGTAACTATATGCAAAACTTCAAAACCTCTTTATATTCAAGAGCAATCGTCTTTAAACTGTCTGAGCAGGTAGCTGGACAACCCTCCCCCCATGGGAAGTCTGAGAGCCTGCAGCCTCACCCAGGTGAGCTCAGTCCTTTCCTCACCTCAATTCCCCACCCTCCCCCCGCCCCGCCACTTCCCTACATCCAGCGGTGCCCTTTGGGTTCAGTGTGAGAACCATTCCACATGAGTCATGAGATGTTTTGAAAGTATTTCCCAGGGCCATGTGAGGCAAGAAACTGAGGCATTAACCCTTAGTTTTAAGTGCCAGCTAAGTGAGGGCACCTTACTTCTCAGGCTCTCATATCTACTAAAGAGCCACATGTCATGAGTGTTCATTGCAGATGCCACAAGACAAAAGTTGAAAAAGGGCCACAAGGGGCCAGATGAAGCTTTGGGGAGGAGGGAGCACAGGTGTATTGCCACCTATGGCCACTCCAGCAGCAGCGAGCTGGACCTCCAGGCGTGCACCCAGGTGCTGCAGCGACACCCAGGGGAGCAGAGGATAAAGGCCATCTGGAGGCTGTTGTGCTGCGATGGAGTGGGACACAAGTTCAGACAGAGTGGTTAGCATTCACTTACATTAGAAGGTAAAGAAAGAGCGTCAACTTCTGGCATGATGAGCTGAGAAGCTCTGTGGACATGCTAGCCAGCAAAATGGGTGGAAATTTAATTTTAAGCTTTTGGAAATGGTCGTAAGAGCATATACAACAAATGAAGAAACATCTAAATGTGACAGTTAAGTAATAAAAACAAGTCTGTTGTTTGAACCAAGACTGTTCCTTCCCTCCCACCTCTCAGCTGAGCCAAGCAGAAAGTTTACTGCACACAGGTGGACCCAGGGACACAGGCTTCTGTCCCACCGGTTATCTGTTGGTACAGATCTGTTCTGGGTGAGACCAGATGAGAGATAACATGCTCTGTTCTTCTCTAGTGGATGGAGTCTCCACCTTGAGCAAATGACTCTAACTATATAGGGCGCCAGGTGCCCTTCCAGCTCATGAGATGGGAGGGACATGGTGCTTCTAACTATAGGGCGCCGGGTTCCCTTCCAGTTCATGAGATGGGGAAGAGACACTGGGAAGGCCTCAGGCTAATGACCCCTGCTCCACTGAGCATTTAGCTCCTGAAGCCGGGGAGTCACCCAGATAGACGGGAGCCACTGTTCTCACTCCAGGGCCCAAAACCCTGCTCAGAGATCTTCCTGCTGGGAGAAGCAAGCTGTAAAACAGGTAACTCCTCACCTCTTGTAAAAGAGCAGACTTTCTTTGCACCAGAGCATGGAGGAGGTCAGTCAGAAGGGCACTCTTGAAAGTAGTACAAGTGTGGTGAAAGGCAGTTAGGAGGAGGTTCATAGAGTCAGTGAAGACACAGACTGAATTACAGGCCAACTAGTTAGCAGGAGAACCAGGGGATGAGACAGTGAGGAAGAGCCCTCCTGAGAACAAACTTCAAACTCTGACCTTGGGAACTCTCTCTTCTGTAAATCCTGAATTAGGTCATTAGGCTATAGAGCAGCTTATGCCCCCAGAGCATTGCTGACAACAGTAGAGCAATCAGCTGGGAATGGATGGAGCTTCAGCGCTGAGTGTGGTCAGGGAAAGAGAGTGGAGATCACTGCAATACCGCTGTCATTTCAGGATGATTTCAAGAAGTAACAGTTATAACTGGACACGGAAAAACAAACTGGTTCCAAACTGGG